TCCCCTATTGCGAAATATGAGATTATTAAGTAATCTGTTTACATCATACAGATCCAAAATCCTGGCTGACTTTTTAAAGGATAAAACATGTATAAGATATCCTTCTGTTTGGAAATAGCTACCTGGGGCTCTTTCTTCCTATCTCAACTTGGGTTCACCCCACAACATTTGGCAGTTCCCCAATCCGTGTGTGTTTGAAGTGAAAATCAAGTGCTGCTCTCACAGTCGGCATTTCTAGGGCATTCAGTAACACCAATTTGTCATCTACGGGCCAGTTCTGTGAAAATACCTGGGCTGGAGATGGAGCCTTTTGGTACAGAAACAAATATGATATCTTAAATGTTAAATGTTTAAATGAGTTTATCCATAGTAACCATCTGTGCCAAAAAAAACCATACACAGTATAACATCATCAACGAAAGAACAGATTTTTAAAGCTTCTCTTTATCTTTTTGTATTATTTCTTTTATTAAATGTACTGGGGTGATATTGGTTAAGAAGACTATATAGGTTTTCAGTGTACAATTCTTTGATATATGTTCTTCACATTGCATTTGCCCGCCACCCAAAGTCAAATCATCTTCCGTCACCACGTACTTGACACCCTTCACCCTTGATTATTCCCCCACTTCCCGGCCCCTCTGGTAACCACAGTACTATTGTCTGTGCCGATGAGCTTTGGTTTGTTTGTTTGTCTTGTTTATTCATTTCTTTCTTTCAGTTTTATATCCCACTTATGCGTGAAATCATATGGTTCTTCACTTTTTCTGTCTGACTTATTTCACTTTAACAATAAGCAAAAATAAAGCTTCTCTTAAGATTAAAAATGGACACTCAGCACCTTTTTAAAGAGTATATCTTTACACCACTAACACAAATGCACAAGGCAAATTATGTGAAAAGGAGGTTTAGGTCTTTAAATAAATCCCACATAAATGAATTCATTATTTAAACAGAAGATGACTCCTCCTCTGACTCACTCTGTTCTAAGTGAGTGTTGCAGTTGATGGTATTCTACTGAGTTTTCAGATCATGGATTAAATGTCATGCCACCCACTAAGAGTAAAGTTGAACCAGGTGAACTGAGGGTGTGGCTGCAGGCTCAGCCTCCCTCCCCTGCTCAGATGACAGCATTAGATGGAACTATGAGAGAGCAGCAGGCTCCTCCTGCTCAGGCTGAGCTAAATCCACTCCCCCAAGTTTGAAGGTCTAGGAAGAATTTTAAAAGCATGAATATTTCAAAGTAACTAGAGCTACTGAACCTTTATCACCCTAATAATCACTTAATGGGAGTACATCTTACTTGTGCAAATGACTTTAAAAGACAAAGTTTTATGTTAAGCTTACTTCTTCCAAGTGTGCTGCAATATGCTTCAACCATATTTATCCTAGAAGCAAAAGAAATGGCTGCTTGCATTTCAAAAATGTGTTTGATAATAGAAACGTAAGGTGTTCCAGCTCCTTTAACCTTTGAATTTCTCATCCTTAAAACAGGAGCACTCCCCGGCCAGTGTGGCTCAGTAGTTGAGCACCGACCTATGCACCAGTCAGCGTGCATGCCCGGGTTGCGTTGCAGGCTCGCCCCCCAGTAGGGAACGTGTAGGAGGCAGCTGATCGATATTGATGCTTCTCTCTCATTGATGTTTCTCTCTCCCTCTCCCTCCAAAAAACATCAATTAAAAAAAAAAGAAAAAGAAAGAACTGGAGCACTTACTTCTGCCACAAATGGACCAGAACTCAACTGCTTCAGAACAGAGATAACAGTCTGCTTTCCTTCAAAGACACCCTTCTTGGTGCAATTAAAAACATGAGACAGGCCTATGTCCTTGAAGAATACATTCCCATTCAAAATATGAATGAATCCTCATTACCAGTCTTGACAGTCAAGTTATCTTTTTCTTCATTCTCAACCACTGGAACCATGGATAAGTCATCCAACCATGTCCATTGCAACTTCTTCACACATTCGCCTGGAGTCACTATAACACGTGAGTGTTCCCATCCCTACCAAATGAAGCCAGGTGAGAAAATGGGAGGGTCCACTGGGCAGGCACTGAGTTAGAAATTAATAGTTCCTATTGTAGTTCCAAGATGTGTACTGTAGAGGAGAGACTGTACTGTTGGGTGTTCTCCACAAAATAATGATACAATAAACAACCATCCCATAGGGCCTCAGAATTCAACCACAGGCAGCTAGCTAAACATGCCTTCGAGGAAATATATCAACTCAGGTTCCAACCAACGTGAAAGATAATCATTAAAATAGAAGTCTTAGCCCTGGCTGGGTAGCTCAGTTAGTTGGAGCACTGTTTGGAGTGTCATCCTGTGCACCAAAGGGTTCAGTTCAATTCCCAAGTAGCACATACCCAGGCTATAGGTTCCATCCCCCAGCGTGCAGTAGGGACCATACCAGAGACAACCTGTGACAACTAATCGATGTTTCCCTCCCTCCACCCCCTTTAAAAATCAATAAACATACTCAGGTGAGGATTTTTTTTAAATAGAAGTCTTAGCCCTGGCCAGTTTGGCTCAGCGGTTGAGCGTCAACCTGCAGACCAGAGAGTCCCGAGTCCTGTTCCTGCTAGGGGCACATACCACAAAAAAAATAAATAAATAACAATAATAATAATAATAAATAAAAGTCTGGGCCCTGGCCAGTTTGGCTCAGCAGTTAGAGTATCGGCCCGCGGACCAATGAGTCACGGGTTCAATTCCAGCCGAGGGCACCTACCTTGGTTGTGATTCATCCCCGACCCTGTTCGGGTCATGCAGGAGGCAACCAGTGGATGTAGCTCTATCAAATCAATGTTTTTCTCTATATCTCTCTCTCTCCCTCCCCCCACTCTATCTGATGATAAATGGAAAAGTATCCTCGGGTAAGGAATTAAAAAACAAAACAAAACATAAGTCTTAGAACAGGAAAATGCATATGGCAAGTTTAATCACCAAAAAGCCAAACAATTTTACAGATGTTTCTACCACTTTTTTGTTGTTTTTGTTTCTCCTTAAAGAACCTGGCTACCGATTTGTGGGCGATTCATTAAATTGGCTTAATTTTGTACCTGAAAATCAAGGGAAATACTTCAGAAAATTAACTTATTAGTCAAACCCTTAAGGGACCCATGTACAATCCAACTGCAGGAGGGTGCTGTCAATCCCAGACCTTATAAACTCAAGAAAGTGATCTACCTCCACTGTGAACTTAGCTAGAACATTATTCTCAAGGAAAACACACTCACACACACATCTCATTCCCAAGTTTCCTCACTAATTTTTCTACTTTAATTGTCCTGAAACTAGATAATATTTGCTCATTCCTACAACACTTCTTACATCCATATGCTGTAACTTTAAGATTCTTGTCTCCTCTTTGACCCTGGGACAGTGACAAAGTCATCACAATGGAGACTTAACATTAGGGGTTATACGAATGAACCTTAAGACAAAAGTTTTCCTATTTTGCTTTTACTAACTTGACATTTTCCCACAGTCATGTTGTAAAAGTGCAAGGAACCCATGAAACAATATGAAAAAAAATACTGTAGTTTCCTTTTCCCTAAGAAACTTAGGTATCAAATTCTTATTAGTCTCAAGAGCATAAATGCAGGAAGTTGAAAGGTGGAAGGGGGGAGCCAATTCTCCAGCACCACATAGTCAGAAGAAACTAAGGAAACATGAGAAAAAACACAATGGTCACACTTTTCTAACTACTCCAGGAGGCACAAGAGCATCACTTGCCCAGGACCAGTCTCACTGGAGTATCATTCCAGACACATAACACCACTCTCTCATTCCTAACCCCACCATCCCTCTGGTCCACGTGTTTGATATGAGTTAAATGTTTAGCAAATGACACCAATCAAACTAGAGTTTTAAAATACAATTAAATTGTCTCTGAGGTGATTTATTTTTATTTTATGTTTTTAGTCCTCACCTGAAGATGGTTCTTCCATTTATCTTTAGAGTGGAGAGGAGGAAGGAAGGGAAGGAGGGAGGGGGAAAGAGAGAGAGAGAGACATGAACTGGTCACCTCCCACACGACCCTGACCAGGGCCAGGGACGAACCTCAACAGAGGTACATGCCCTTGGCTGGAATCAAACCCGCAATTCTTTGGTCTGCAGACCGACGTTCTAACCGCTAAGCCAAACCAGCCAGGGCATGGGGTGTTTCTAACAGGCACATTTTATGACATGGTTCACCTGCAAGTTTCATTTAATTTTATGAGTACTGATTATTTTTTAAATCTCATTGTAAGTATTAGTAACACCTTGCATATTTGTGATGCCTTCACATAATTACTTTGATAAATATTAATTTAGCCCTGCTTTCTCACTATGAAGTAAATAGCATGATTCCACATTATTGATAAGTCAAGAGATAAGAGAAGAGCAGACACTGAAAGCATCATAACATGAGCTAAAATGTAACTGTTGTTTGGTTTTTAACAGGCACTGAAGAACATTAGCCAAAGAGACCTTTTAAGTAAAAAATGCTTGTCCATCTTTTCCTAGCTGAGACTCGTCCATGATTACCATTCTTTACATCCTCAGCTTAGACCCATTTTTGTGGCAAAAATAGTATCATTCTCCTTCTAGAACATCTGTTTCTCTACCCTGCAAGCTATAAGAAAGAATAGTAGAAGATTCAACCAAATACATTTATATAAATCTAGAAGCTTCCTTGAATTGGAAGGTGGTTCATATTATCTGGCAAAAATATTTATTTTTCACGAAGACACACCTGATTCAAAGGAAGACCACCTCTCCTTTAAAAAAAAAAAAAAGACCATGCAGGACTACACTGACTCAGATTTTGGTGGTCCAATGAAGTTCTTGAAATTCCTTTCTGTGTTGAAGCAAAATGGGGAGATTAATGAAACTCCATAGAAATGCTTTGGTTTTTAACTTCAAAAATACAAGCTACATGAAATGAATGAATGCTCTTATCTACAAAGACACACGTATATGAATACATACTTCCCCAGACCCTTAAAGCTCACCTTCTACTTCTTCTTCATCACACACATGCTTAAGGAAAGAAGCCCCTCTGTCCAAGACAGCTTCATCCTCCATCCTATAGTAATAAAAAAGAAAAAAAGAATGCTCAGACTTCTCCTGGAGTGAGCCACCCGAGGCAGCCCAGCTTCTGGGCAGGTTGACCTGCAGGCTGCTGCTCATGTTCACAGGGCAGAGTCACTCTTTGCCTGGTGACTGATACTTCTTCACGCAGCTCCTCTCCTCCGGTGGTAGAGAATACGCCGGTCCCACATAGCTTCAGTTCTAACCTTGAGAGGGCACCCACATGGACAGGTGAGAGAAAATCATCTCAATCCTGCAGGCTAGATGTTGGGGGTTCTCTCCTTTGGGATTTGCATTAAAAAATAAAGAAAAAAAAATAGCAAGAGAGGAAGTTTGAGATGTCTGGAGTGCTCGTGACGATCGTTTGTGGAAATCCAGCTTCAGTGCTTAGCTCTTTAAACACCCACGGCATAAAAATGTATACTCTCACACACACACACATGCACACCCACCCACACACAGAAAGCGACAGAGTTAGGCTAGTGCACTGTGGGAGCCTAGCTTCCAGCCAGCCTCTTAATACCAGCACAGCCCAGCATTCTCTGTTGAGTGGCAAGCTTTGAGTCACATGTTGGCCTTACGGAAATCTGACATCTGAGGATTATCCAGCAACTCGGCTTCGGCAACAGTCACATATACATGCCACCCATTCATTCATTTTCCACACTTCTCACACTTCTCTCTCTGTTATCTGTCCCGTTAACTCTTCCCTGAAGGGCTCCAAGTTCCTCATTTTGTGGCCACATTATGCTGTCCTCCTGTCTCCTTGCATAATAGGATCTACTCTGCAATTTCATATGCTAAATAAGACCTCAGGATCCATCCAAGTAATGACAGCGTTTCCACGGCCTCCCAACGCCAAACATGTTCCTAGTTTACAGAATGAGTTAAGATTTATTTCCTCATTCTGTGGCTCGTTTTCACTGCATTAACTTTGACATACAGAATTCCATGAGCTCTATTTATAGTCGAAGCAGAAAGAAATCCCCGATTGCTCAAATGCTGCTTGTGCCGCACTGGTCTAGAAACAAAGAACTTTCTCTGGGGACAGCTGTTCTAGTCATACTGTACATGAGCTCCGCCAGAAAACCAAATGTTCACTTGGTATCCTTCATCCAACTATATGCTCAAGTACTGAATACTGTAGGTCTGTTTTCCATATTGTCTGTATAACTTACTCTTGTGCTTCAGATACTTGTTCTAACACACATGTCTATGCACTGAATTCACATTTTCCTCCTTTCTATTTTAGGAGCATATCCATCTCCCAAAGCAACCACCGTAGCACAAAATGTCAGAAGTATGCTGTCAGGTAGGCCTGGGTTTCAAAAATCTTAGTATTTGTATCACCTGGAGCAAAGGGTTAACTTTTTGACCCTCAGTGTTTCCATCTATAAAACTGGAGTAATAATATCAATCATGCAGGTCTTCTTTGAGATTCAAATGAGGTAACAAACGTGAAAGTACTCAGTTTCATGCCTGGCCCCTAGTACATGTTTAATGAAGGTAAGTTTCCTTCCTTTCCTCTTTCTTTATTCCTTTTGTACCCTCATATTTATTGGTAGACAGTGCCATTAAGAAACTCATTACCGCCCTGGCCGGTTTGGCTCAGTGGTTAGAGCATCGGCCTACGGTCCGGAGAGACCCAGGTTCGGTTCCTGCTAGGGGCACGTACTTCGGTTGCAGTTTGTCCCCGGCCCTGGTTGGTCGTGCGGGTGGCAGCCACTCGGTGTGTCCCTTTCACATCGATGTTTCTCTCTCTCTCTCTCTCTCTCTCTCTCTCTCTCTCTCTCTCTCTTTCTCTCTCTCCCTCCCACTCTATCTGTACAAAAAATGGAAAAATGTCCTCGGGTGAGGATTTTAAAAAAAAGAAACTCATTACCTTTGGACACTTGCAGAATATTTTCTTTCAGGTAGATGGGACCTGTATTCAATAGTTCATCCTGATATATATCTATTTCCTTTTCTGTATTAAAACTAAAGTATGAAACTAAATACAAATAGGATATGGATCAACCATCAGGATTATAGTAGAAAAACCGCCTTGAAGACTTGAGAGGTCGAGTCTTTTGCCAGCCCTCTCTGGGCCCGTCCCATGAAGAATGAGGGATGCACTGATTTAGTGATTCAGCAACTGCTATGTTCTAGAACGCTCCAGAGGGAGGGGAATACATCTGTGAATGAGACCATTCTTATAATATAATATAATAATAAATAGATAGATAAATAAGAAATATAATAAGTAGATAAACAAGGTAGTATTAGATAGCATTACGTGCTTTGCAGGAAATAAAATGAGGCAGGGATCTACCTGGCATAAGGTGGTTCAAGTGAGGCTTCTGAAGAGGTGACATTTGAGCAGAGAAAACAATGATATGAAGGAATCAGGTCTTTGAAGTTCTGGCAAAGGGATCAGCAAGTGCGAAGTCCCTAAGATGGGAACAAGTTTAGCATGTTCCAGGAACAGAAATGAGATCCATGAGGCTGGACAGAGCTATAAAAGGTCAACAGCAATAATACTATTAGGAATCAGGCCACGCAGGGCATGGTGGGCAGTAAGAATTGTAGGTGTTCTGGGAGCCACTGAAGAGTTGTTTTGCTCTGGTCTATTGAGGTATAATTGATACATAACATTATATTAGTTTCAGATGTGTAATACAATGATTTGATATGTGTATATACTGTAGTCCCTCCTTACCTGAGAGGGATATGTTCCAAGACCTCCAATGGATGCCTGAAGCCACCAGTATTACTGAACCATATATACATACGTGTGTGTGTGTGTGTGTGTGTGTGTGTGTAGTGTTTTTTCCTAGACATACATACCTATAATAAAGTTTAATTTATAAGTTAGGCCATTTCACAGACAGAAGATTCATTCTTACCATAGATCTTAACAACCTCGGCTTTCTATATTTTTTTCTTTGGCATATGCAAGTTGCCAGTTTACTCCTCTTGGGCTTTGGGTCATTATTAAGTAAAATATGGGTTACTTGAAGACAAGTACTGTGATACTGTGACAGTCTATCTGATAACCGAGATGGCTACTAAATCACTCATGGGTGGAGAGTGTGGACAGGCTGGACAGAGGGAAGATTCATGTCCAGGGTGGGACATAGCAAGACATCACGAGACTTGATTGTGCTACTCAGAACCTTGCACTTTAAAACTTATCAATAGTTTTAAAACTTATCAGTTTAAAACTTATCAATAGTTTACTTCTGGGACTTTTCATTTAGTATTTTCGAACCCCAGCTGACTGCAGGTAACTCAAACCATGGAAAGTAAAACCCCGGACAAGGGGTGGGGTGGGCTATAGTACTGTAATATGATCACCACAACAGGTCTATTTAGCACATCTAGTTTCAATATTTATTTTCCTTGTGATGAGAACTTTTAAGATCTATTCTTTTGGCAACTTTCAAATATGCAATACAGTATTATTTATTAACTGTAGTTGGAAGAGTTTTAAGATGGAACTGTTTTATCTTTTTTTAAGGATCACTCTGGCTGCTACATGAAATACAGGTCATGAGGAGACCAAAGAAACTAGGAAACTATCTCAGGAGTCCAGGAAAGGCTGTGGGAGAAACAGGTTTTGGGGAAGAAATCAAGAGTTCTTTTCTGGCCACTTTTGATGCTTGTTACATATAAGATGCTTATTATATATGAACAAGGAGCTGTCCGATACACAATTAGACATCTAAATCTGGAGCTCAGGAGTCTGGGGCTACAGATAAAAACTGGAAAATCAATGAATAAAAGCCAGTCCCTGAAGCTATTACTGGATGAGATCATCCAGGAAGAAAATATAGAAATAGAGGCGTAGACCTAAGACTGGGCGCCGGGCATGCCAACATTTACAAGCAGAGCAGAGGAACCAAAGCAGTCAGTGAGGTAAGAGGAAACCAGGAAAGAGTAATGTCAGGGAAGTTGAGGGAAGAGGAGAGTATGCTACTGGGAGGCTGAGCAAGACGGAGACAGAGAAGGAAAACCAGGATTTGGCACTCGGGGGGCGGCTACCGCTGGCAATGACCAAAGCACTTGAAACATACCATGCACAGTGCTAGACACAAGAATAGCCGTCAACCATCCCCTCTTCTCTTTCCTGCCCTCCTCCATTCAGCAGATATTTACTGAGTACCTACTAGGTGTCAGGCACACTTCTAGGTACTAGAGACACAATAATAAGCAAGACAGAACGGGCTGCGGTGTAACCACATCTGCCTTCTCGAAGAGTCCCCTGGCAACCCAGGCAAGTCGGTCCAAAGGGCAAGAACCCACCAGTAATACTGCGCTTTACGACATGGACAAGGATGACAGCTTAATGTGGACATTTTCTGAAAAGACCTTGGAAGTACAATAAAATCCTGGAGACCTGTACTCCTTACTGCATAGACAATAACAGAACTGCTTCCCCTCTGGAAAACAGAGTTCAGCCCACATTTCTTCTCAGAACTAACCCTTGCCAGTCCTATCAACCTGCAGAATCAACACAATTTCCTACAGAGCATCATTTCTGCACCCCACCATTAATCAAACTGATCCTATTTACATTTTTGTCGTTAATCCTCACCAGAGGATATCCTTTCCATTGATTTCTAGGGAGAGTATAAGGGAGGGAGGAGGGCAGGGGGAGACAGAGAAACATTAATATGAGAGAGACACATCAATTGGTTGCCTCCTGCGCATGCCCTGACTAGGGCAGGGGATCAAACCTGCAACCGAGATACAAGCCCTTGACCAGGCATGAAATCATGACCCTTTGGTGCATGGGCCGGCACTCTAACCACCGAGCCACACCAACCAGGCCCCTATTTACTTTTTACAAGTTCCCTAAATAAAATGTTTAGCCTCTGCTCCCAATCCCTTCCCAAAATTGCATGCAACAAGCAAGCAAAGCAGAAACATAGGAAGAAAACCAGCAACAACTAAGACATTGTACCAATTATAACAACTGTAGAAACGTTCATGCCCAGAGCCCTCTTCCTAGGC